GCTCTTGGCCGGCACCACAGGCGACGCCCCACTTCTCCCCTCTTCGCCGGAGGCCGACACCGGAGGCAACCCACGCAGGTCGGCCACGAGGGTAGGGGCAAGAGGGGCAGGGGAAGGGGAGGAAGGGCGGACAACCTCAGCATCCTCAGCAGCAAGTGCGCCGACCTCGGCAAGCAGAGGGAGCGTCGCCGTCGAGGTTGTCGGCACGTTGGCCAGCGTCCGCCCCAACACCGGCCCGTGCTCCGACTTCCACACCTCCAGTAATATAGTCTCAGAGAACACCACGTCCGACGTGGTGACCACCCGGTTGTCGGCGATGTCAAGGAGCTCCCAGCCCTTGCTCTCCTCCGACACGCCGAGATGAAGGCCCCACCTGGCCTTCGGCTTCAGCTTCCCACCACGCTGCTGTTCGGGGACCAGGAACTGTGCCATGCATGCCAGCAATACGTCGTGCTTCTTCCCGGTCAGCGTCGACCTTTGCAGGCAGTTGCGGACCCAGACGGCCTGCCACAGAGCGAGGTGCCACGAGTGGTGCTGCACTCCCATGTGTAGCAGTACCGTCCGTACCGACTCCACCACCGTCCTCATCTCCCGCTCCGCCATGCCGTTCTGCTGCGGGGTGTACGGGCAGGTCAGGTCGTGGACGATCCCCTGGCCGTGCACGAAGGTGGTAAACTCCTTCCCGAGGAACTCCCCTCCTTGGTCGGAGCGCAACATCAGCACCGACTTCTTCGTCTGCCGCTCAGCCATCGCCAGCCACTGTACGAACTCCTGCAGCACGTCCGAATTCTTGGCAACCGGCCTCACCCACACGTAGCGGGTCTTGCGGTCCTTCAGCAGTAAGAAGTACAGGCTTCCGTCCTTGGCAGCCATGCGAAACAACCCGCACATGGCGATGTGCACAACGGCCAGCATGTCGTCGGCGTCAGTGCCTTGGTCAAGGAAAGTGTCCCGCGCCAGCTTCCCGCCGATGCATGAGACACACAGTGAGTTGGCGCCAGACGCCGACTTGAGGTCCAGCCCAGTGGCGACCTCATGCTTCGCCAAGCTCCGGACGGTGTCGATGCTGACGTGGGCGAGCCTCGCATGCAGCCGGTCCGGTGTGGACTTCATCATCGAGACAATCACCCGCAAGGCGACCAACTCCGTCTTGGGCGTTGTCGCCTTAGCCAAGCAAGGACGCAGGTCAGTGCAGAGGACGTATAGGACGCCCAACCAAGGACGTCCCCCGCAGCCCTGACGAGCAACATCTCGTCGCCATCCTCCTGCAGCTTAACACCGTTCTCCTTCAGCTGGCCGGCCGACAGCAGGTTTGCCTGCACGCCCGAAACATAGAGCACGTCGGGGATCAACACCTTCTTCCCGGCCTTCCCTTGCAAGGTGACCGTGCCTCCACCCTGAACGTCCTACAGTGCCCCGTTGAAGCCGCGCACGTGCTTGACGTCGTCGCTTGGCTCCAAGTCGACAAAGGTCTCCTTCGTCCCCATCACGTGGTGCGAGCAGCCGCTCTCAAGCAGGACCACTGCCGGATTTGTCTGCACAGCTGCCGCCAGCGCCTTGATGTAGCCGTAGCTCGGCGCTACCCGCCCACTGTCACGTGAGTCGCCGATGATGGTGTCAATCCGCTTCGTCGACCTCCGACGTCGCCTTGCGAGGAGCCTGCAACCGCCGACGACTGCATCCCTCGCGCTTGAACGCCGCCGACTTCATCGGCGTGTATCACACCTCGCTGCCTCGACGTGCCTCCCGCACTGCTGCTGGCTTGGTCACCACCGACGTTGACGCCCACGTCGACGCCGCCTTCTGTGTTCACCAGGCAAGGAGAACCAGGTCGAGAAGGGTGCTCCGTCACCTACATAGCGCGGATGCCAGCCTCGACGACCGCCCAGGGAAGCATCTCCCCGTACTCGCGGGCCTCATGGCGTCTCCTTGCGTCTTCCAGCCGTGCCTCCAAGGTGTCAACTACACCAGCGTCACCTACGCCAACCATGGTGACTAACGCACAGCTGCCGGCCTACGAACAACTAAGGTAAGTGGACTAAGTCGACTAGACTGAAATGTAAGTCTTGTGCCATCTACGCTCACCGCACCATGCGGAGATAACTCTAGCAACGGAAGCTAGTCTACGAGCTAGGAACGGGGTAGAGGTGATCTCTGCATTTGTTCCTTAGTCGTTCACTTGTGCTCTCTCTACTTCCGTATTCACGGGGAAAATTGGCAAGAGTTTCACTAGCAAAAGTTTACAACAATGATTGCAACAACATTGGCAAGGTTGTTTACATCAGAGCTAGCAGGCATGCAGGTCGACTGCTAGCGCAGCACGGTCGACCGTGCTCCACCACGACTTGGTCAACCGCGCTCCAGCAGTACAAAGTTGCTGCCCGCCAACAATGCAAGTCGACGGCGTGCCAACGCTGCAGCAATCCGGCTAGACAGCGTTGCACCAGCAGGACGGCAGCGCATCCGCTTTGTAGGTGCTCGCAGATAATTGGCGTGCTGTGTCTTGTCACATGCACAGCGCAGACACCAAATCTTCCTCGTGCTGACGACTGCATCTGATCAGCCACGTCGACCTCGGGATACCACCAGCGAGGTCAGCCTCGCCAAAACCACCTGGGCGACCGTCGCACTCCTTCGTAGAACCTCGTCACCCAGGTAACCTGGTCGACCAGGCAACCACATCGACCAGCTGCTCCTTTGCATGCCCGTCAACCACCCAAGTCGACGACCACCTCCAGTCGACCTCGTCAAGTCGACGACCACCTCCAGTCGACCTCGTCAAGTCGACCACACCCTTGGTCGACCAGCTCCAGGTCGACGACACTCTAGGTCGACCAGCTCCATGTCGACCAGCACATTTGTCAGCCGACCATACCCAGCCGGCTTCATCAGGTCGGCGTCCCTGAGTCAACGCCCTCCCAGGTCGACCTCCCAGGTCGACCGCCGGCTCCCAACGTCGGCGGCTCTGCAGTGGCCCCGTGCAGGTCGATCAAACATGTCGACCTGCTCGCCCAAGATGGCGTCGCCCACTGTTGCAGGTCGGCTGCACTTCCCGCACACCTGACCATGAGGTCGGCTCCGCCCAAGCAAGGACGGGGCCAACCACAATTCCCGTTGACACCATATACTACCATGGTATTCGGTGTGGGGCAGCCTGGCCCATTACTACCATGGTATTCGGTGTGGGGCAGCCTGGCCCATTACTACCATGGTATTCGGTGTGGGTCAGCCTGACCCATATACTGCCATGGTATTCGGTGAGGGTCAGCCTGGCCCATATACTGCCATGGTATTCGGTGTGGGTCAGCCTGGCCCATATACTACCATGGTATTCGGTGTGGGTCAGCCTGGCCCATATACTGCCATGGTATTTGGTGTGGGTCAGCCTGGCCCATATGCTTCCATGGTATTCGGTGTGGGTCAGCCTAACCCATATACTACCATGCTGAGGCGGATGGGTTAGGCTGGCTCATACCATCTTATGTCTAAGGCCCAGGAAAGCGTAAAGCTTAACTTCACTCGTACGCTCCCGTCCTTTTCCAAGTTCCCTTGCCTGGCAGACATTCTTGTGGATGTTCAACCATGCGCGGATGGACTGGAGAAACACGTACCAGGATCAAATGCCAGACCTTCTGCATGTACTATATGGTGGGGTTTTGGCGAGACTGGTTCATGTGCTGAAGGGCAGCGAGAGCAATGCTCTTGAGCTTGACGAGTAAGTACGCTAAGCTCGGAGCTACAGGTAGAGGGTCTTTGTGTAACCTTGGATATGACCTAAACCCTTGCCTCGTTTCATCCCTCCCTGCTGCACCAATCCTTATTTCATCCCCCCTTCCTGCTCCTTGCCTCATTTCAACCCTCCCTGTTGCTCCTTGCCTCATTTCATCCCTCCCTCCTTATCCTTGCCTCATTACATCCCTTCCCGCTCCTTGCCTGATCGCATCCCTCCTACGTCTTTTGTATTGTGGGCCAGCTAACCATTACCCTCTCCACGTCTTTTGTGTTCTGGGCCAGCTGACCATTACCCTCCTACGTCTTTTGTGTTCTGGGCCAGCTGACCATTACCCTCCTACGTCTTTTGTGTTCTGGGCCAGCTGACCATTACCCTCCTACGTATTTTGTGTTCTGGGCCAGCTGACCATTACCCTCCTACGTCTTTTGTGTTCTATGCCAGCTGACCATTACCCTCCTACGTCTTTTGTGTTCTGGGCCAGCGGACCATTACCCTCCTACGTCTTTTGTGTTTTGGGCCAGCTGACCATTACCCTCCTACGTCTTTTGTGTTCTGGGCCAGCTGACCATTACCCTCCTACGTTTTTTGTATTCTGGGCCAGCAAACCATTACCCTCCTACGTTTTTTGTGTTGTGAGCCAGCTGACCATTACCCTCTCTACGTTTTTTGTGTTCTGGGCCAGCTGACCATTACCCTCTCTACATCTTTTGTGTTCTGGGCCAGCTGACCATTACCCTCTCACGTCTTTTGTGTTCTGGGCCAGCTGACCATTACCCTCCTACGTCTTTTGTGTTCTGGGCCAGCTGACCATTACCCTCCTACATCTTTTGTGTTCTGGGCGAGCTAACCATTACCCTCCTACGTCTTTTGTGTTCTGGGCCAGCTGACCATTACCCTCCTACGTCTTTTGTGTTCTGGGCCAGCTGACCATTACCCTCCTACGTCTTTTGTGTTCTGGGCCAGCTGACCATTACCCTCCTACGTCTTTTGTGTTCCGGGCCAGCTGACCATTACCCTCCTACGTTCTATGTGTTCCGGGCCAGCCGACCATTACCCTCCTACGTCTTATGTGTTCCGGGCCAGCCGACCATTACCCTCCTACGTCTTTTGTGCTTCGGGCCAGCCGACCATTACCCTCCTACGTCTTTTGTGCTTTGGGCCAGCCGACCATTACCCTCCTACGTCTTTTGTGTTCGGGGCCAGCCGACCATTACCCTCCTACGTCTTTGGTGTTCGGGGCCAGCTGACCATTACCCTCCTACGTCCTATGTGTTCTGGGTCAGCCGACCATTACCCTCCTACGTCTTATGTGTTCCGGGCCAGCCGACCATTACCCTCCCACGTCTTTTGTGCTCTGGCCCAGCCGGCCATTACCCTCCCACGTCTTCTGTGCTCTTGGCCAGCCGACCATTACCATCCTACGTCTTCTGTGCTCTGGCCCAGCCGACCATTACCCTCCTACGTCTTCTGTGCTCTGGGCAAGCCGACCATTACCCTCCTACGTCTTCTGTGCTCTGGGCCAGCCGACCATTACCCTCCTACGTCTTCTGTGCTCTGGGCCAGCCGACCATTACCCTCCTACGTCTTCTGTGCTCTGGGCCAGCCGACCATTACCCTCCTACGTCTTCTGTGCTCTGGGCCAGCCGACCATTACCCTCCTACGTCTTCTGTGCTCTGGGCCAACCGACCATTACCCTCCTACGTCTTCTGTGAACTGGGCCAGCCGACCATTACCCTCCTACGTCTTCTGTGCTCTGGGCCAGCCGACCATTACCCTCCTACGTCTTCTGTGCTCTGGGCCAGCCGACCATTACCCTCCTACGTCTTCTGTGCTCTGGGCCAGCCGACCATTACCCTCCTACGTCTTCTGTGCTCTGGGCCAACCGACCATTACCCTCCTACGTCTTCTGTGAACTGGGCCAGCCGACCATTACCCTCCTACGTCTTCTGTGCTCTGGGCCAGCCGACCATTACCCTCCTACGTCTTCTGTGCTCTGGGTCAGCCGACCATTACCCTCCTACGTCTTCTGTGCTCTGGGCCAGCCGACCATTACCCTTCTACGTCTTCTGTGCTCTGGGCCAGCCGACCATTACCCTCCTACATGTTCTGTGCTCTGGGCCAGCCGACCATTACCCTCCTACGTCTTCTGTGCTCTGGGCCAGCCGACCATTACCCTCCTACGTCTTCTGTGCTCTGGGCCAGCCGACCATTACCCTCCTACGTCTTCTGTGCTCTGGGCCAGCCGACCATTACCCTCCTACGTCTTCTGTGCTCTGGGCCAACCGACCATTACCCTCCTACGTCTTCTGTGAACTGGGCCAGCCGACCATTACCCTCCTACGTCTTCTGTGCTCTGGGCCAGCCGACCATTACCCTCCTACGTCTTCTGTGCTCTGGGTCAGCCGACCATTACCCTCCTACGTCTTCTGTGCTCTGGGCCAGCCGACCATTACCCTTCTACGTCTTCTGTGCTCTGGGCCAGCCGACCATTACCCTCCTACATCTTCTGTGCTCTGGGCCAGCCGACCATTACCCTCCTACGTCTTCTGTGCTCTGGGCCAGCCGACCATTACCCTCCTACGTCTTCTGTGCTCTGGGCCAGCCGACCATTACCCTCCTACGTCTTCTGTGTTACGGGCCAGCCGACCATTACCCTCCTACGTCTTCTCTCTTTCGGGCAAGCCGACCATTACCCTCCTACGTCTTCTGTCTTCCGGGCCAGCCGACCATTACCCTCCTACGTCTTCTCTCTTCCAGGCCAGCCCACCATTACCCTCCTACCTCTTCCGTGTTCCGGGCCAGCCCACCATTACCCTCCTACGTCTTCTGTGTTCTTGGCCAGCCCACCATTACCCTCCTACCTCTTTTGTGTTCTGGGCCAGCCCACCATTACCCTCCTACCTCTTCTGTGTTCTGGGCCAGCCCACCATTACCCTCCTACCTCTTCTGTGTTCTGGGCCAGCCCGCCATTACCCTCCTACGTCTTTTGTGTTGCGGGCCAGCTGACCATTACCCTCTCTACGTCTTTTTTGTTCACGGCCAGCTGATCATTACCCTCTCTACGTCTTTTGAGTTCTGGGCCAGCTGACCATTACCCTCCTACGTCTTTTGTGTTCTGGGCCAGCCGACCATTACCCTCCTCCGTCTTTTGTGCTCTGGGCCAGCCGACCATTACCCTCTTACGTCTTCTGTGCTCTGGGCCAGCTGACCATTACCCTCCTACGTCTTCTGTGTTCTGGGCCAGCCGACCATTACCCTCCTACGTCTTCTGTGTTCGGGGCCAGCCGACCATTACCCTCCTACGTCTTCTGTGCTCCGGGCCAGCCGACCATTACCCTCCTACGTCTTTTGTGCTCTGGGCCAGCCGACCATTACCCTCCTACATCTTTTGTGCTCTCGGCCAGCCGACCATTACCCTCCTACGTCTTTTGTGCTCTCGGCCAGCCGACCATTACCCTCCTACGTCTTCTGTGCTCTCGGCCAGCCGACCATTACCCTCCTACGTCTTCTGTGCTCAGGGCCAGCCGACCATTACCCTCCTACGTCTTCTATGCTCTGGGCCAGCCGACCATTACCCTCCTACGTCTTCTGTGTTACGAGCCAGCCGACCATTACCCTCCTACGTCTTCTCTCTTTCGGGCAAGCCGACCATTACCCTCCTACGTCTTCTCTCTTCCGGGCAAGCCGACCATTACCCTCCTACGTCTTCTCTCTTCCGGGCCAGCCGACCATTACCCTCCTACCTCTTCCGTGTTCCGGGCCAGCCCACCATTACCCTCCTACCTCTTCTGTGTTCTTGGCCAGCCCACCATTACCCTCCTACCTCTTCTGTATTCTGGGCCAGCCCACCATTACCCTCCTACCTCTTCTGTGTTCGGGGCCAGCCCACCATTTCCCTCCTACCTCTTCTGTGTTCTGGGCCAGCCCGCCATTACCCTCCTACGTCTTTTGTGTTGCGGGCCAGCTGACCATTACCCTCTCTACGTCTTTTTTGTTCAGGGCCAGCTGACCATTTCCCTCTCTACGTCTTTTGTGTTCTGGGCCAGCTGACCATTACCCTCCTACGTCTTTTGAGTTCTGGGCCAGCTGACCATTACCCTCCTACGTCTTTTGTGTTCTGGGCCAGCCGACCATTACCCTCCTCCGTCTTTTGTGCTCTGGGCCAGCCGACCATTACCCTCTTACGTCTTCTGTGCTCTGGGCCAGCTGACCATTACCCTCCTACGTCTTCTGTGTTCCGGGCCAGCCGACCATTACCCTCCTACGTCTTCTGTGTTCGGGGCCAGCCGACCATTACCCTCCTACGTCTTCTGTGCTCCGGGCCAGCCGACCATTACCCTCCTACGTCTTCTGTGCTCTGGGCCAGCCGACCATTACCCTCCTACGTCTTCTGTGCTCCGGGCCAGCCGACCATTACCCTCCTACGTCTTTTGTGCTCTGGGCCAGCCGACCATTACCCTCCTACGTCTTCTGTGCTCTCGGCCAGCCGACCATTACCCTCCTACGTCTTCTGTGCTCTCGGCCAGCCGACCATTACCCTCCTACGTCTTCTGTGCTCAGGGCCAGCCGACCATTACCCTCCTACGTCTTCTGTGCTCTGGGCCAGCCGACCATTACCCTCCTACGTCTTCTGTGCTCTGGACCAGCCGACCATTACCCTCCTACGTCTTCTGTGCTCTGGGCCAGGCGACTATTACCCTCCTACGTCTTCTGTGCTCTGAGCCAGGCGACCATTACCCTCCTACGTCTTCTGTGCTCTGGGCCAGCCGACCATTACCCTTCTACGTCTTCTGTGCTCCGGGCCAGCCGACCATTGCCCTCCTACGTCTTCCGTACTCTGGGCCAGCCGACCATTGCCCTCCTATTTCTTTTGTGTTCTGGGTCAGCCGACCATTACCCTCCTACGTCTTCTGTGTTCCGGGCCAGACGACCATTACCCTCCTACGTCTTCTGTGTTCCGGGCCAGCCGACCATTACCCTCCTACGTCTTCAATGTTCCGGGCCAGCCGACCATTACCCTCCTACGTCTTCTGTGTTCCGGGCCAGCCGACCATTACCCTCCTACGACTTCTGTGTTCCGGGCCAGCCGACCATTACCCTCCTACGTCTTCTGTGTTCCGGGCCAGCCGACCATTACCCTCCTACGTCTTCTGTGTTCCGGGCCAGCCGACCATTACCCTCCTACGTCTTCTGTGTTCCGGGCCAGCCCACCAGTACCCTCCTACGTCTTCTGTATTCTGGGCCAGCCGACCATTACCCTCCTACGTCTTCTGTGTTCTGGGCCAGCCCACCATTAGCCTCCTACCTCTTCTGTGTTCTGGGGCAGCCGACCATTACCCTCCTACGTCTTCTGTGTTCCGGGCCAGCCGACCATTACCCTCCTACGTCTTCTGTGCTCTGGGTCAGCCGACCATTACCCTCTTACGTCTTCTGTGCTCTGGGCCAGCCGACCATTACCCTCCTACGTCTTCTGTGCTATGCGCTAGCCGACCATTACCCTCCTACGTCTTCTGTGCTCTGGGCCAGCCGACCATTACCCTCCTACGTCTTCTGTGTTCCGGGCCAGCCGACCATTACCCTCCTACGTCTTCTGTGTTCCGGGCCAGCAGACCATTACCCTCCTACGTCTTCTGTGTTCCGGGCCAGCCGACCATTACCCTCCTACGTCTTCTGTGTTCCGGGCCAGCCGACCATTACACTCCTACGTCTTCTGTGTTCCGGGCCAGCCGACCATTACCCTCCTACGTCTTCTGTATTCCGGGCCAGCCGACCATTACCCTCCTACGTCTTCTGTGTTCCGGGCCAGCCGACCATTACCCTCCTACGTCTTCTGTGTTCTGGGCCAGCCGACCATTACCCTCCTACGTCTTCTGTGTTCTAGGCCAGCCCACCATTACCCTCCAACCTCTTCTGTGTTCTCGGCCAGCCCACCATTACCCTCGTACGTCTTTTGTGTTGTGGGCCAGCTGACCATTAACCTCTCTACGTCTTTTGTGTTCTGGGCCAGCTGACCATTACCCTCTCTACGTCTTTTGTGTTCTGGGCCAGCTGACCATTACCCTCCTACCTCTTTTGTGTTCTGGGCCAGCTGACCATTACCCTCCTACGTCTTCTGTGCTCCGTGCCAGGCGACCATTACCCTCCTACGTCTTCTGTGCTCCGGGCCAGCCGACCATTACCCTCCTACGTCTTATGTGTTCCGGGCCAGCCGACCATTACCCTCCTACGTCTTTTGTGCTTCAGGCCAGCCGACCATTACCCTCCTACGTCTTTTGTGTTCTGGGACAGCCGACCATTACCCTCCTACGTCTTTTGTGCTCTGGGCCAGCCGACCATTACCCTCCTACGTCTTCTGTGCTCTGGGCTAGCCGACCATTACCCTCCTACGTCTTCTGTGCTCTGGGCCAGCCGACCATTACCCTCCTACGTCTTCTGTGCTCTGGGCCAGCCGACCATTACCCTCCTACGTCTTCTGTGCTCTGGGCCAGCCGACCATTACCCTCCTACGTCTTCTGTGCTCTGGGCCAGCCGACCATTACCATCCTACGTCTTCTGTGCTCCGGGCCAGCCGACCATTACCCTCCTACGTCTTCTGTGCTCCGGGCCAGCCGACCATTACCATCCTACGTCTTCTGTGCTCCGGGCCAGCCGACCATTACCCTCCTACGTCTTCTGTGCTCCGGGCCAGCCGACCATTACCCTCCTACGTCTTCTGTGCTCCGGGCCAGCCGACCATAACCCTCCTACGTCTTCTGTGCTCCGGGCCAGCCGACCATTACCCTCCTACGTCTTCTGTGCTCCGGGCCAGCCGACCATTACCCTCCTACGTCTTGTGTGCTCCGGGCCAGCCGACCATTACCCTCCTACGTCTTCTGTGCTCCGGGCCAGCCGACCATTACCCTCCTACGTCTTCTGTGCTCTGGGCCAGCCGACCATTACCCTCCTACGTCTTCTGTGCTCCGGGCCAGCCGACCATTACCCTCCTCCGTCTTCTGTGTTCCGGGCCAGCCGACCATTACCCTCCTCCGTCTTCTGTGTTCCGGGCCAGCCAACCATTACCCTCCTACGTCTTCTGTGTTCCGGGCCTGCCGACCATTACCCTCCTACGTCTTCTGTGCTCTGGGCCAGCCGACCATTACCCTCCTACGTCTTCTGTGCTCTGGGCCAGCCGACCATTACCCTCCTACGTCTTCTGTGCTCTGGGCCAGCCGACCATTACCATCCTACGTCTTCTGTGCTCTGGGCCAGCCGACCATTACCATCCTACGTCTTCTGTGCTCCGGGCCAGCCGACCATTACCCTCCTACGTCTTCTGTGCTCCGGGCCAGCCGGCCATTACCCTCCTACGTCTTCTGTGCTCCGGGCCAGCCGACCATTACCCTCCTACGTCTTCTGTGCTCCGGGCCAGCCGACCATTACCCTCCTACGTCTTCTGTGCTCCGGGCCAGCCGACCATTACCCTCCTACGTCTTCTGTGCTCCGGGCCAGCCGACCATTACCCTCCTACGTCTTGTGTTTTCCGGGCCAGCCGACCATTACCCTCCTACGTCTTCTGTGCTCTGGGCCAGCCGACCATTACCCTCCTACGTCTTCTGTGCTCCGGGCCAGCCGACCATTACCCTCCTCCGTCTTCTGTGTTCCGGGCCAGCCGACCATTACCCTCCTCCGTCTTCTGTGTTCCGGGCCAGCCGACCATTACCCTCCTACGTCTTCTGTGTTCCGGGCCTGCCGACCATTACCCTCCTACCTCTTCTGTGTTCCGGGCCAGCTGACCATCACCCTCCTACCTCTTCTGTGTTCTGGGCCAGCCCGCCATCACCCTCCTACCTCTTCTGTGTTCTAGGCCAACCCACCATTACCCTCCTACCTCTTCTGTATTCTGGGCCAGCCCACCATTACCCTCCTACCTCTTCAGGGTTCCGGGCCAGCCCACCATTACCCTCCTACGTCTTTTGTGTTCCGGGCCAGCCGACCATTACCCTCCTACGTCTTCTGTGTTCCGGGCCAGCCGACCATTACCCTCCTACGTCTTCTGTGTTCCGGGCCAGCCGACCATTACCCTCTTACGTCTTCTGTGTTCCGGGCCAGCCGACCATTACCCTCCTACGTCTTCTGTGTTCCGGGCCAGCCAACCATTACCCTCCTACGTCTTCTGTGTTCCGGGCTAGCCGACAATTACCCTCCTACGTCTTCTGTGTTCCGGGCCAGCCGACCATTACCCTCCTACGTCTTCTGTGTTCTAGGCCAGCCCACCATTACCCTCCTACCTCTTCTGTGTTCTGGGCCAGCCCACCATTACCCTCCTACCTCTTCAGTGTTCCGGGCCAGCCCACCATTACCCTCCTACGTCTTCTGTGCTCCGGACCAGCCGACCATTACCCTTATACGTCTTCTGTGCTCTGGACCAGCCCACCATTACCCTCCTACGTCTTCTGTGCTCTGGGCCAGCCGACCATTACCCTCCTACGTCTTCTGTGCTCTGGGCCAGCCGACCATTACCCTCCTACGTCTTCTGTGCTCTGGGCCAGCCGACCATTACCCTCCTACGTCTTCTGTGCTCTGGGCCAGCCGACCATTACCCTCCTACGTCTTCTGTGCTCTGGGCCAGCCGACCATTACTGTCCTACGTCTTCTGTGCTCTGGGTCAGCCGACCAATACCCTCCTACGTCTTCTGTGTTCCGGGCCACCCGACCATTACCCTCCTACGTCTTCTGTGTTCCGGGCCAGCCGACCATTACCCTCCTACGTCTTCTGTGTTCCGGGCGAGCCGACCATTACCCTCCTACCTCTTCTGTGTTACGTGCCAGCCGACCATTACCCTCCTACGTCTTGTGTTATCCGGGCCAGCCGACCATTACCCTCCTACGTCTTGTGTTATCCGGGCCAGCCGACCATTACCCTCCTACGTCTTCTGTGTTCCGGGCCAGCCGACCATTACCCTCCTACGTCTTCTGTGTTCCGGGCCAGCCGACCATTACCCTCCTACGTCTTCTGTGCTCTGGGCCAGCCCACCATTACCCTCCTACGTCTTCTGTGTTCTGGGCCAGCCCACCATTACCCTCCTCCCTCTTCTGTGTTCTGGGCCAGCTCACCATTACCCTCCTGCGTCTTCCGTGTTCTGGGCCAAATCTCCATTACCCTCCTACGTCTTCTGTATTCTGGGCCAGCTCACCATAACCCTCCTACGTCTTCTGTGCTCTAGGCCAGCCGACCATTACCCTCTTACGTCTTCTGTGTTCCGGGCCAGCCGACCTTTACCCTCCTACGTCTTCTGTGTTCCGGGCCAGCCGACCATTACCCTCCTACGTCTTCTGTGTTCCGGGCCAGCTGACCATTACCCTCCTACGTCTTCTGTGTTCCGGGCCAGCCGACCATTACCCTCCTACGTCTTCTGTGTTCCGGGCCAGCTGACCATTACCCTCCTACGTCTTCTGTGTTCTGGGCCAGCCCACCATTACCCTCCTACCTCTTCTGTGTTCTAGGCCAACCCACCATTACCCTCCTACCTCTTCTGTGTTCCGGGCCAGCCGACCATTACCCTCCTACGTCTTTTGTGTTCTGGGCCAGCCGACCATTACCCTCCTACGTCTTCTGTGTTCTGGGCCAGCCCAAAATTACCCTCCTACGTCTTCTGTGTTCTGCCAGCCCACCATTACCCTCCTACGTCTTCTGTGTTCCGGGCCAGCCGACCATTACCCTCCTACGTCTTCTGTGTTCCGG